TCCTGAAGGTGCAGGCCCTGTCCACAGGGGGCCACACCCAACACCCTGCACTTGAACTTCTATACTCAGGCTTCATGCTCCTGAGGTCCCAGGCAGGGTCAGATGTCTCCCTGGAGGCCCACACTCAGCCACCTGGGCAACACTTTTGAAGGAAGAAATGAAATGACCAAGATGGTGGGAAGAGGGTGCAGGAGGGGCCCACAGTGGTTTTGTGGCAACTGGTGGGCTCCAGCCCAGGCTTATGTGGGCTCCGGGGAGGACAAGAGTGGGGTAGTGAGCTGGGGGGCAGGAGGGCTGCAGGAGAGCAGCCGGGGTGGCTGATGCTGAGGAGGTACTGTCCCTGGGCCAAGTCGGGGGCAGAGGGGCCCTTTGTAGCTTAGCTGCCTGGAGCAGGGAGAATGGGGTCCTCCAGGGAGGGCCAGGCTCTGAGACAGGTGCCAGAGACTCTGGTTGACTTGAGGGAGGTGGGCAAACGGGGGAGTTCTTGCTTACTTTGGAGGGAACACAAAGGTCTTAAGAGGCCTTAATCCTAACCCTAACTCTCCAGACTGGATGGTGGAGAACAGAAGGAGCTCGGGCACCTCTCTGCCTGATTAGGGGTCCGGATGACCTATGATTCTGCCTCAGGGAGGCTGCGAGGGGAGTGTGAAGAGAAGGGGCCAGGGCCACGACTCCCCTGGCTGCCACCTTGGGGCTACACCAGGAATGGATGACTCCAGGTCTGAAACGCTCCGTTCCCTTAGTTTCTACAATTTTCAATGCCCGGACAGGACAGGTCAGAGGACGGGGGTAAGCTGACGAGGGCCCTGCGCCCCGTGCCGTGGCCCCTCCGGACAGGAGTGACCAGGAGTCCCCAGGGCCGGCCCGCGGGTGTCGCGGGTCAAACCAGGCGAAAGCGGAGCCCTCTCAACGCCAGCCAGACCGCCCCGGAGTGGGTGCAGGAGGCGCGGCCAGTAGGTGGTCGCGAGGGCAAGGGCCGGCTTACGTGTGCCGGAGCCCGGCCTTCCCGGGGAGGGGCCCGGCTCGCGCGGGCCGGGGATGCTGAAGCGCCCGGGCTGTTCCACCGCCGGGGCAGGCGTGGGTAGCGCCTCGGATCGTACCATCCGCCCCGGCCGGCGGGGGAGCTGCCCCGGGCGCCAGGCGGCGACGCGGCGCCCGCAGGCCCCGCCCGGCAGGTGGCGGCCCCGCCCAGAGGCCGACGTGCGGAGAGGAACGCGCCGGCCGCGCCCGCGAGGCGCCGCGCGACGGTGGGCGTGGCGTCCCGTCCCCGGCTCGCACACAGTGGCTGCGGCGCGGCAGGGCGGGCCCGACTCGGCCGACCATTGGCTGCGGGACCTGTACATTTGCATACGGGCCGGGCGCGGAGCGCGGAGCCGGCGGGGCCGCGAGGGGGCCGCGGCTGCCGCCGAAGTTGGGCAGAAAGCTGGCGACGGCCCCGTGCCGGGGTCGCAGGTGACGCGCGAGGGGTCCCAGGCCGGCGGGCGGGAGCTCGGACCGGGCAAGGGCAGAGGGATCGGACAGCCAAGTTGGAGGGGAGGGAAGGGTCGGGGGCGCGGGACGACCCTTCCGCCCGCACGGCGGTCCCTCCAGGCGCAGGGCAGCCACTGCCCACCGCACACTGCGCTGCTCCGGACCCACTGTGCGTGTGACAGCGGCTGATCTGTCCCTGGGCTGCGCGACCGCCCCGTCCCCTCTGTGACCCTGCGGGGCAGGGGACGGCCACATCGGGTCAGAGGGCGCGCGCCAAGGCGGGTGGTGGGCAAAGGCGCCCCATGGACTGGGTGTGCTTTTCTGCGCCCAGCAGTCGGCTGAGGGAAAACGGGGGACATTCAGGGAACTTCGCTGTCCTCCGCACGAGGGGTCTCAGGTTGGACCAGATGCCCTCTCTTTC